TTTTCTTCTTATGGCTGAATAATATTCCATTGTGTATATGTACCACATCTTCTTTATCTGTTCATCTACTGGTGAACAATTAGGTTGCTTCCATTTCTTGGCTATTGTAAATAGTGCTGCGATAAACATAGGGGTGCATATGTCTTTTTCAAACTGGGCTGCTGCATTCTTAGGGTAAATTCCTAGGAGTGGAATTCCTGGGTCAAATGGTATTTCTATTTTTAGTTTTTTGAGGAACCTCCATACTGCTTTCCACAATGGTTGAACTAATTTACATTCCCACCAGCAGTGTAGGAGGTCCCCCCTTTTTCCACAACCTTGCCAACATTTGTTGTTTGTCCTTAGGATGGTGGTCATCCTTACTGGTGTGAGGTGATATCTCATTGTGGTTTTAATTTGCATTTCTCTGATGACTATCGATGTGGAGCATCTTTTCATGTGTCTGTTGGCCATCTGAATTTCTTTTTTGGAGAACTGTCTGTTCAGCTCCTCTGCCCATTTTTAAATTGGATTATTTGCTTTTTGTTTGTAAAGGCGTGGAGACCCTATTTTTGGCATCTCTTTCCCCCACCCCATCTAGCTGGGGAGGAGTCATCCCAAGCAAGGGCAGGTGAACAGCATTGCTGCATTCCCACATCTGCTACCTCCAGCAACACAGAGGCAGGTTGGGCCTACCCTCCTTCCCTCCAGTGTCCTGTGAGGTCCTGCAAACAGATGCTGGTGCCTACTTCAGTGGTCATTGACTCCCACTTAGCCCTGCTTTGAGTCAGCTAGCCCCTGCATCATCTCAGGGACCAACTTTGATTCCCACCCACTGTGCAGGGCCACCCTCTGTGCCCCTGGACAGCTTTTGAACAGAGCCTGGGGAGCTCAGGGCCAATGTCAGCTACCAGCACTGGGACAAGTGTGCCTCCACACTTTTGGCATTCCAAAGCCAGCCCTATCAAACAGGCCCTATGTGCCCTGGCTCAGACCTGACTAGGCTGGGGAAGAAGAGCTGTCCTTCCTGTCCCTCCTTTGCCTCTGGAGGATGGGTAGAACAGGGGATTGGCCTTATGCCTTATTGGCAGTGGAGGCCTCTGTCTGGGGCACTTGTGTGCTTACAGTGATATCTACAGTGCTCCTTGCCCAGCGCCAACACAGGCACTTCGGGTCATTTTCACATTGCTCCATCTGAGATGGGGACACCAGGCCCACCCCAGGCCAGCACCGGATAGTTCTGGATCAGGAAAACTACTACAGACAGGTTACTTCTTTCAGATGGTGAGGGCGAGTGCTGCGGGACTCCCCCTGGGGAGACATGCCAACTAAGTGTGGTCAGAGCTGGGTTCTTGGTCTTGTGGCGAGAAAGATGTCAAGGACGGCCGCAAAAGCAGCTGAGCTTGTTTATGGGACGATAAGAGTTTAAAGAAAGGCGAAAGAAAGCATACGCTCTAGAGTTGAGCACAGACTGGAAAGTGAATTGCCGTGAGGATACAATCCGGAGCTCTTTTATGAAAAGGAAAATGAATACCTAATAAGTGGGAAGAGGCTGCACAGAGAACAGGCGGAGTCTTCAGAGCTGGGCTTGCTCCAGCCTCACGGGGCCGGGGCGGTTGCCCGTATTTGGTCCTCACAGAACTGTCAGGGAAGTCGTCCCACCAGGGACTTATGGGCATGGGGTGCAGTGTCCTGCGCGGTTAAGTTTGCGTTCACCTCTCCTCACTGGAACCAGCAGGCTTCCCCGGTCACCTATGTTCTCCACATTCCGCGAAGCTGTGCTGGCCCCGTTCCGCCTCCCTGCTCTCATCTGCCTACCTATCTACTGACATTACCGGTCTCTGAAGACTGGAGAGCCTGCTCTCTGCATCCAGAGCAGGTGTGCCCTCCAGGGCCCTCACTGGGCGGCACCCGAGTGTCACCAGTGAACGCGGCAGGCGGATGGGGCGATGTGGGGAAGTTGGGGTTCCTGTGGCCAGGATCCTCACTGAACTTTAATCACCTGATGGTGTAACTGGCCTGTTGCTAGGATACCGCTTCCACACCTCTAGGCAATAAACTATTATTGCACTGTATGGAGAGCTGGCCCAGTGCTCGACCTACCGCCGGGAAAACAAGTCGGATAATAAACCTTTTCACCCCGAAGAACGTTTTGCTGTCAATTTCTTTGGTCACATTTAATCCATAGCGAACTTACTCGGGGCTGAAACCCATTGGCAAGACAGGCGACAAGGACGGAAAAGCCCTTCTAGGCTGAGGACCTGAGAAGAGCAAAGGCTGGGCGGTGGGGAGCAGTGAGCAAGCCCCGGGAAAGAGGCTGGCTGGAGAAGCCTGAGGGAAAACCTGCTTCCCGGGGCCGGGCGCCGCCGACCCACCTCCCCCAGCCCCAGGCCCCGCTCAGGAAAGGGAAGGCGGTCCCGAAGGTCAGGGCGGCCCGGCCTCGCCCTCCCCGCCCTGCTCTCTGCAGAGCCTAGGCACCGCTGGCGGGAGACCTGGGGTCCCGGCGCGGGCGAGGGCGCCGCAGGCTGTGCTGGGCGCGACAGGGCTTGGCCCTATCGGCTCCGCGGCCGACGTTCCCACCTCCACGTCCCGGAGCGGCGGCCGCGCGCCGTGGAGGGTTCTCGGACTGCTGCACTCCAGCTCCCGGTCCGCCTCCGCCTCCGAAGGGCCAGGACGCAAGCGCCGCAGCGGCCGCCTGCCGAGAGCCAGAATGCAGCGCGCCTGCGGGGCGGGCCTCCCGATGCACGCCGGGACCTATAGTTCAGGGCGGTGCAAGGCCGAAGGGTGAGGCCACCGCGGGGCACGCCGGGACCGGAGTCCGAGGCGGCGCGAGCCCGCCCCTCACCTGGCCGGCAGTGGGCGCCCGCGAGGCCCAATGGGAGCAGCGGCCCGGGGCCCCGCCCCGCGCCGCCCGACGCCTGTGGCAGGACCGGGCCGCTGCCGGTGCCGGTTCCTTGAGTTGAGCGCCAGCCGCCCGGAGCCAGCCGCCGCCCGCAGCGGTCCGCGCGCGGGGGTGCCGAGGCGCCGCCGGGCCGGCGAGGAGAGGAGCGGGCAGCAGCAAGGAGGCCGGAGCGAGCGGCCGCCGCGGCTGGCACATGGCGTCCATCTTGCTGCGGAGCTGCCGCGGCCCGGGCCCCGCTCGTCTCCCGCCGCCCCGCGCCGCCGCCCGGAGGGGTAAGCGGCCGGCCCCGAAGCCGAGGAGGGCCGCGGGCCTGGCGCCCCGGTGGGTGGGCGCGCCAGGGCCTCGGGGGCCTCGCTTCTCCGCCCCGGTCGCCGGTCGCCGGTTGCCGGGCGCGGTGAGCGCCGGGCGCGCGGGGTGGCGGGTGGTGACTCACTGGCGCCGTGACCTTAGTCGCCCTGCCGCTGGCCGCCGAGTCGCGAGCAGGTTAGAGAAGGGCCCAGAAGGGAGGCGCCGACGGTGTGGGCGCACTCCGCCGGTGCTTAAGTCCAGTGTAACGTGGCGTCCACCCACGAGGGCGGTTGTGCCCGGGGGCCACGCCAAGAGCCCCCGACAGGCGACGGCCGGGGGCTGGCAGACACTGGCAGACATTTGCGAGCAACACCCAGGCCTTGCTGTGCATGACCTCGGGTGAGGTCCTCTTGTACCCCGAGACTTAGCGGCCCTAGCTGTGACGTGGAGATAACGCTAACCTAGGGCTCTTAGGGGTCCATGCCTAGGGCGTCGGCAGTCGCCCTCACCCATCTCCATCTCTTTTTACATTAATTCCTCTGAGTTTGTTCCTTATTTGTAAGATTGGAGTAAACACTAAATTTGCTTTATGAAATAGAGAATACCCAAGTAAAGTTATGTATTTCAAGGTGCTTTACGGCATACAAAGGAACCCCGAGAAACTCGGTTGTGTAATTTTTAACAGAAATGGCTGGTTGGCTGCCTTGGAGCCCTGGGAAGGGCACTGAAGAGTGAGGTTTCAGTCCAGCTCGTAGTGTTCCCCTCTGCCCTCAGAGCACCCTATCTTGCCTGTTGCTTATTCTGGTGTCTTTTTTGGTTTACAAACTTTCTCCTTATTCTGCACAAATTCTATTTGTTAAGTGCATTTCCTCTGTTCTTCACATACTTTATTCTGATTCCTTTTTTTGGTCCTAGAACTCTGTCCAGGCCACCACATTACCTTTAGTCACCTTTTCTCTTTAGTCTCTTCTTGGCTGGTAAGTTTCTCAGACTTATCTTGACAGTTCTGTGTGGACTGGTGAAAATATTTAGGATGCACCGCTATTGGGATTTGTTTGCTGTTTTTTTTTTTTTCATCCAAGTGAGTTAACGGGTTTTTGGGCAAGAAGACTGCAGGGGTTAAAGTGTCCTCATCACATCCTAACAAGGGCACCTGCTAGCAGTATGACTTAGTGAGCTCAGTGCTGACCTCGATCACTGGGCTGAGATGGTGTATGTTAGGTCTCTCTCCTCTGGAGTTATTCTTTCCCCCTTGCCACACCGTGTTCTTTGGGAGGAAGTTGCTATGTGGGGCCTGTACTTGGGAGGGGTCTGGGGCCCCGTAAAGGTGGGCTGCCTGGATTCGCCAGGCACTGGGTGTGAGAGCAGCAAGGGCCAGTCTTTGGCCATTATTGAAACGGGAGGATTCGGGAAGGTGCAGGCTGGGGAAGCTGGGAGTTGTTCTTGGAGCTGTTGGTGTGAGATGCCCATTGGATGTCTGGGTCTCACTACCCGCAGGTCTGCAGGCACTGTGTGCCTGAGGAGGAGGAGCTGGAGGTAGGGTGGAAAGGATCCTTCCTGGAGCAGCTGGAGGGGAGAACCCAGAAAATGCAGTTTCCTGGAAGCCAGGGGAAGGAAGGTGTGGAATCTGCAGAAATACATTTGGTGTCTGTCCTCCATCTGGGTCTCTAGCCCAGCTCCTTACAGCTTTGTTATTTCCTGAGAGAGGATGTCTTTGTTATTCATAGTGAGCTGCTTTTTCCTCACCCCTGAGTTTATGCTAATGAGGTACCTGGGATTAGAGGGTTGGACCTTCTTGCCACATTCCCCACCTCCAGGGAGGGGGTGTGGAGATCGAGTTCAGTCGTCAGAGGCCGAGGATGTAATCAATCCCACCTAGGTAATGCAGATGAAGACTTGAGCAGGGAGGCTTGGGGGGCTTCTGGGTTGATGGTGCATGTTGACCCCACAAGGCCTCTTCCAGCCCTCACACTCCATTCCTCTCCATCAGGCTGCTTGCAGGTGCCCTTTAAAACAAACTGTGATAGTCAGTAGAGCACTTCCTTGACTTCTGTGCCATTCTAGCCGACTGGCAAAACTGAGGGGGTCGTGGGAAACTCTGAGTTTGTAGTTGGCAGAAGTGTGGGTGGCCTGAGGACCCACCCGACTTGCCACTGGCATGTGAAATGAGGGCAGTCTTGTGGAACTGAGGCCTTAGCTGCAGGTCTACTGCACTCCAGGTCCCCATCTTCCTGAGGGCTACCCCAAGACACTGTGTTCCCAGCTGGGGTAGACCCTTCACTTTACAAACACTCTGAAACGTTCTAACACCAAAACCAGCCTTCCAGAAACTTATTCTGCCAAAGAGAGCCATAGTCTTTTCATGCCCTCAAAGGCAGTGTCAGTGTAAAGCGCCTGGCCTGAGACTGACTTTCTTATTTCCCTCGTGTCTGTTGCAGCTAGCCTGGGGGATTGGTGCCTCGGTTGTGCTGGCGTCGCAAGGATGATGAGCCACAGGTAAGTGAATGTCACTTTTCACCTCTTTGAAAGGGGTAGCTGGAAAATGCACGAGTGGCATGTGGCTCTCAACTTGGGAGATGATATACCCTGCATTCCTGTCCTTAGTTGTTGTTTCTTTTATCCTTTCATTTTGAAATATGTAACCACATACCTTAGTGAATCTTTGAAAAATAAATGAACACTTTTAATCCTGGTCAGAATCTCTTACAAGTATCACTAGCATTTTGGTGTATTTTATCCAGTCTTTTATGTGCATTTTTGAAAACACACAGTAGTAACCACAGTGTGCATACTATTGTGTACACACCTGTTCCATGCCTACATGATGCCACTTTCATGGCTTTTCATGTATTTGCACAGAAAGACATTGGTCATGCCAGGCAGTTTTGTGGGTGTCAGGCCCGGTCTGAACACACACAGACTCTCCCTCGCAACACATGTAGTGCTTCAGAGGAGCAGTATTTGAGCGAGTGCTGGCCCCATGGAGCATGCCCCTGCCTGGTTCTGGGCACGAATGGAAGACGTAGTCGTTCCCTTCGGTGGGAGGTCTGCGGTACTGCTCTGAGGCTGGAGGGCGTCCTGGAGGGAGTGGCATCCACACTTTCCTGTCCACTTGCACACCGGCTTGAATTTCCCTCAAGGCTGTTGAGCTCTCCCATCTGCCGTCCCCTGTGCCCAGTATCCCAAGGAGGTCTCCCTTCTCGCCCCCTTGCCTGTGTGGTGGGAAGTGCAGAGCTCTCCTGGCACCAGGCCCTTGGCCACATCCCTGCACGTCCAGTGCAGAGCTCGTCTCTCTCCGCAGCCATGATTCCTCCTGCTCCAGGGCCCAGGACTGCCCTCCCATGCTGTCTGTCTGGCCCCTCACCCTTGGAGCTGTGGGGTCTTTTGGGTTTTTCTACACATTTGAGCTTGTTAGTTTGCCACCTCATGGCTGTAAAGCTTTCCTGGAGGATGCTTCCTGGGACAGGTTTAATTCCCTAAAAGACATACTGCACAAGTCATACATGGAAACTTGGTTGTTGTTAAAGCAGTTATGCTTAAGCATATTTTCCGTTTTATGGCGTTTGTAAAGTGCTAACATGAGCAGCCAGCTAACATGAAAAGCCATGTGGCTTTTCTCGCATGCATACATCTCTGTGGAGTGATATCGGCCCATGAGCAGCATTTGGTGGGGACACAACAAAGGCTGCTTAAAAGCCCCTCCCAGCCGCAGCACCCCCTGCTTGCTACCAGAGCACTGCCACCCGGCTCTTGGCTTTGATTTGAATTAGGTTTTTTCTCTTCTGATAATCATAAGACTTTGTTGTTATGAAATCTTTCTTTTTATGATGTGGAGTCATTAACGTACAAGCAAGGAACATCCTTACTCTTGAAATGTGCTTTTCTAGACTCCGTCCTAGAGTAAACTCTAATCTGAGATAGTGTTTCAGAAGCCTGGGGCCTGGAGGGGGGTTAGAAATGATGGCCAGTAACCTGGCAGCACATGGTTGTCCTGAAGGGTGTGGCCCCACAGGGCCAGCCCTTTAGGCTGGGGGACAGCCTGGGGGAGGGGTGTTTGAAAGTAAGCCAGAAGACTGGGTTTTGGTGTGAAGGCTCTCATTTTAAAGTGCAGACAACTAGCACGAGTTAGAGGACCGCTGTATGGATCAGCCCCTGCCCTGTGTGGATGGGGTCTACCTGCAGTGACCCAGCAGGTTGCAGGCTGGCCATGCCTGCCCCATGTCCACGGAGTGCCTGTCATTCCTTGGTGGCCTGTACCTGTGTGTCTTACCAATGGGTTTCAGCCCCGGACAAGGTCACTATGGATTCAGTGAGACTAAAGAAAGGACAGAACATTCTTGGGGTGAAAGGGTTCATACCCAACTTTATTTCCATGGTGGCAGGTCAATCACTAGAATCCTGTCCACTCAGAGCAAGTCTGCATGCAGCAAGCTGGTCTCTATCTCTGGGCCTCTCTACCAACTCAGCCATCTCAGTCTCTGTCCTCAGTGCTGCCACCACTCCAGCCTCTGCTCTCCTGTAGCCTTGCAGCCGTGCCACCGTGTCACCCAGAGCACTGGGCGGAGTTCTTATATAGAGTCAATAGCAACACATTGCCCACAGGTGTGCAGTGAGCTAGCTGACCAGGGCCAGGTGAGAATCCTGGCCACAGGAACCTTCACTTTATCCACAGCCTGTCAGCTTACCTTAGCGAGTGTTCTAGCTGCTTTCACTTGCAGGAGACCAGGCCTCGCATGCCTCCTTTCTGAACAGTTCTACTAGGTGTGCTTTTGAGTTCTTTTCAGTTC